TGTGTGTGTGTGTGTTTCCTTTGGCTATATAGAGAGCTTTGTGTGTCAGCCAGAGATGACATTATAGTTTGCCTATGGAAATGATCTGGTGCAGCCAGGGTCAGTTCAGGGAGGGGTAGGAAGATGTGAAGCAGACAGTCTGGTAGCCTGTTTCTCGCTTCTGTGTTTCTGCACTTCCACAGGTCTCCTGTCAACCACACAGTGTGGGCAGGACGATGGCATCTTCTTTTCATTTCTTCTTTTTTGGAGTTTTTGAAGGTGGTGCTGTGGTGGCTTACTCAGTCACACATTATGCTTGTAATATACGTATCGCTCACCTTTTTCAGCACGTTGTTGTGGTTTTCCAGCTCACAAACTCCAGTCATTTCCAATAAAGCAAGCACCTTTTCAGTACACATGAATAAGAGTGCTTTTTTTTTTTTTTTTTTACAGGTTTTAGCTCAATAAATTGTCCTATAAATCATCAGCAATAAAATCTGGTTAACTTTATCATCCATGTATGAAGAGTGGGTCACACTTGATTCATTGTTTCTTTTCCAAGAAAACATAAATACAAAAATGTTTGGTTAGTTATAAGTGTTATTCAGAACTGTAATGTCTTTATTGGTGCGTTTACTGCAGTTTTGTTGCAGTCATGAACAAAAACTGCCATGGTGGGTTTAGGAGACGGTACAGACTGGTGTGTGTTTGTGCAAGCTGACATCCTCTTCGATCTGCATGTTAGCAGACACTGACACACACAACACCAATCCCTGCCTGTCTGGACAGCCATTATGTGGGAAAAAGAGGTCAAACTACTGCTGATGCCACCCTCAGGAACACACACACAGGCTGGCACACACACTCTGACTTTCTTTTTCACAAATTCCTCTGGATGCACTCTTTTACACACACACACACACACACACCCACACACTGACTTTCCTCTTCTACTGTGGTTTTTCATCCCGGTCAAAGTTCACATGTTGTGTGAGGAACAAAGGAGCGAGTTGGAGGTTTCTTCTCTTGCCAGCAGCCTTCTGCTCACTCATTCCTTGTTGGTTCGTCTTGGATTGATGCCATAAAAACTTAAAATGGAGTCAGATATGCTAGCAGAGGCAAATGAGCTGCAGACAAACTAATAATACAGATGATACACATAAACACACACACAGAGTCCTCCTCAGGGTTATTAATAAACAGATGAGCAGATGGGTAGATTTATAGTGTGTGTCACATCTGCCCTGAGGGAGTCGGTCGGCTCGCTCTGGGTAGACCAATTGACAGCTGAGGTGACGTAACGTTAAGCTATTGGGTGCATTAAGGTCTGGATGTTTAGAAAAAGCAGAAACTGAAACTGAGGGAGAGTGAAAGTTGAAGTTGAATGAGTGATGGCAGGAGAGGTAAAAGCGGGCTAAGAGGGGAAAATGTGGGATGATGGACAGCAACAAAAAAAAAGTAAAGAAGAAAGAGAAAGTTGCAGCTGTTTGTCCAGCTGTTGTCCTCGGGGAGTGTGTACATGTCTGTCTTGGCTGTGTGCATGACTAAGACTTTACTATCTTTCCCAGCCCATCCTGCACAAACTCTGTGAATCAGGTGTGTTTGCTGCACAAAACAGGAGTACTGCAACAAATCTAGTTTCTCTTTCCGTTGAGTTTCATTTGGACAAATAATATGACGTCAATCGTGTCTCAGTCAGTGATAATCTGACACTTTAATTTCTGAAACCAAACCTACTAAGACCTTGATTATACATCCATAGTTGTATTTTCTAATTGTCTTAGCCAGTAGTTTTTGGTATTATATTGTAATTCAACTCCTTATTAATCCGTCTAAGGTTAGAGAAATGTGTGATTTTAGGCTTTATTAATCAAATAGACTTGTCAAATCACTACTTTGTGATATATGCTTATAAGATGTATCAACCTTGATACCCAAATAATGCCTGGTGCTGCTTAATTATTCATGCTGGGACATTAGTATGCTGTGTTGTGTGGTTCATTGTACACAAGCCCCCTTATTGTGTTCCAAAAAGTCAACAGTTCTCCCCACAGTGCCGTGCCTCAACAAAGGTGGCCATGTATGTGGGGACAGACTGAGCACTCAATTTATCAACATCACATGATGTACAATGGAGCCATTAGCTGCTCATCCATCAGATTCAAAGGGCGACTGGCTCAACTGTCAATCCTACATTCAGGAGGGAGGGATGTGTGGTGAATACGGAAGATGTTGTCTTTTTTGGGGGGCAGTGAGATGTGAAAGGGGCTTTACAGGAAGTTTTGTCCATTTGTATCAGTGTGTGTGTGTGTGGGCTCTTCTGACAGGAGCGTTTCCCGGATCTGCGTGGACAATAAGAACAGAGACAGATAAAGTCATTGGGAATTTTTTGGGACTTTTGCTCTGTAATGGTGAAACTAAAAATCCTCCCACCGTCCCTCTGTAGTAGTCTTTTACTCCAGTGCTGTCCTCCTGCGGTGGCATGTGACATGACATCAAGAGAGCAGTTACTGCCGTGTTGAGAGATATTGAGAGTAGAGCTTTTGATGCTTACATGTCACAGACTTCGTTGGAGAAATTTGGACAAAGGGAAGGAGACAAATCTAGAGTCTTATCGCAGAGTTGACACCAAAACTAAAGATGTTGTTGCTGTTGTCTCCCTCACAAAGAATAGAGGAATGCTTAATTTACAGCAGTAGAAGGGTGCATGAGTTATGTACAGTAAACCACATTGAAAACTTTTTTTTTTCTCGAGGAACAATATCTGATTGTTTTGCAACTGTTAATTCTGTAATTAGTATAGCAACATGGTACTTTTTTTTACCCATTTTTTACTATTAGACAGTTTCAACAAGTTTTCGACTCCAGGATCTTGAAGGGCGACGTGTCCCACCGAGCATCAGCACTTAATTAGCTACATTCATTGCTTTTAATTGAATTCACTCAGCCCCCTTTTGGATTTATTTTTGGATGACACACAAAGACGGACAAAAAGGGAAGCACTCCAGCGTAGTCGTCTGTTCTTTGTTAATTACTTACATAACCAATCACTTACGCAATGTAACTGGACGGATTTTGAAGAGAATTTCAGCTTCTCTATCTTCCCAGCACAACTTGGACTGCTACTGGGTGCTTTGTTGAAGGGGTTACCAACAGATTTGGGTGTGTTTGTGTGTGTGGTCATGTGTAAGAGACGGAATGAAAAGTAGAAACTATGTTAAGAAGTGGGTGTGTACTGTACGTGCGTGAGATAGCATACAGTGTGTCTTCGCATGTTTGTGTACATGAAAGAGACACAGAAAGGAGACAAAAAATGTGCATATGTGTGTGTGAGTGTATAAGTGGATATTTAGGTATTTTATCTGGTGGTGAAGGGTAAACAGGAAAGGATGGAGTCCTCAAATGATTTCCTCTTCCTCCAAAAATTCCCCTCTGTTTTCATCTGTCCATCAGTGGCACAGATTGACAGCAAGAAAACAGATTCAAGATAGACAATTAAAACAATATTCTAAGATATTTCTGTCACAACAACACAACAAGAAAGCTAGCGTGTATTTTTGTAGAAGCTTTAAAAAACAGAAGCTACAATGTGCTTTACTGAAAGGAGAATATAGAAAGAGGAAACAAAAGAAACAAACAAGGTTTTTGGAGAACAGTGTCATTTCTAAGGACAGTTTTGCAATTTCACTATGTAGAAGTTCCATAGATTCTGGCAGGAGCGCCTGTAGCTAACCTTTTTGTGACTGCTTTGAGCTCTTGTCCAAAATATGCAAATAACATGATTTGTAGCCAAACCATTGCACTGCAGGTCCAAACGTCCAATATTTATTTTACTGACAATGCTTGATTATGTGTGTGCTTGCAACTGTGAGGAAGCAGTAAAAGAAATGCAGTTAACTCCACTGTTGGACTTTAATTAGCCTACAAAAGCCTTTTCACAGCCTTTTCTGAGTTTGGTTCACCACAACATGGACCTTATGTTTTTCAGTTACATGCTTAGTTATTCCACCCTCTTGAGGAGTTTAGAAAATCCCACACAGAAAAACACTGGAATAAATAAAGCTAAATACAAAATGATTTAGCTGAAACACTTACACTTACAGTAGTTACTTAGGGAGGTGAGGAGGTCGTACAGATTGTCCTTTGAGGCAAATTTGTGATTTGTGGTATTGTGCTATATAGATAAAGTTGACTTTAATCTGATCCCAACCACATTCAATGCTAGGGATCAAAACCTGTTGTTCAGAAGCATGCCTCCAAACACATTCAGACCACATAGACCTTTGGGGATCAATATTTAATTCTTTGCCTCTGTGTTGTATGTTTGTCTCGGTTTTGTCCCACAGGGAAAGCTGCCTGACGCCAGTCAGCCCAGAGTCGTGTCCCCTCGTCCAGGCCTTCCTGGCTGAATGTACCGGCCGTCTGTTCCTGGGTCACGCCCAAACCCAGCTGAAGACAGGCCTGCAGACCCAGGAGAGACACCTCTTCCTCTTCACCGACACACTGCTCGTCGCCAAGGCCAAGTAGGTTTCCTTGTGTGTGCCTTGTGAAATGACAGAGAGAATGAAGGAGTGTATGTTTATGTGGTTGTGTGAGGGAGAGGGAGATGGAAAATGGAGACAGGGAGACATAAACAGGAAAAAATAGAGTGAAACAAATTTGAAAAACAAAAAAGCAACATTTCATCTATTCCTTGTTGTTTCTCTGAAGCAGATCGCAAAAAGCAATTTGATCAGGATGGAGTTACATCTTTATGTTATCTTTCCCTCAGTTTTCCTTCCCTTACTCTCTGGCTTCTTTCACTCGCTCCCTCATTTTTCTCCCCAGTATATAATTATTTCCCAGCCAATTAAATCCATATGAAGCCTGGCTCAGATCAAAGCCACACTGGCCTGCCTTGGGCCTACAGTATGAGGCTCCCCACCCACAAACTGCAACACACACACACACTTTCAAAAATAGAAACTTAGAGAGCACATTTGTGTTTTTGAAGTCCACAAACACACACATACATGCACTGATGTGCACATGTAAACACGTAGACATGTAGTTACAGAATCTTCTGTAACTAGAGTTCTGCTCTGTGTACTGTACACACACAGTCCTCACTGCAGACACAGCAGGACCTCTGTGGTCATGTGCCAGTGGGCGGAGCTGACCCTTCCATCACAGAGACTATACGCTATAATTGGCTATTACATTGTGGCTGAACGCAGGGTGAGCAATGTATTGGTATGTGTGTGTTTGCGAAAGAGAGGGAGAAGAAGTTAACTGATGTGTATTTGCATTTGTTTGCCTTTATCTGTGTAATAGCATGGAGAGTGTGTGTGTGTGTGTGTGTGTATAAGTGTGTGTGTGTGTGCCACATGTGTGCATTTTGGAGTTCTTCGCTCTATAATCACAGATGAAGTGGTGGATGAATTCATTTCTAGTGAGCGTGCTGGTCTTTTTAGAATTCTATATAAAGCTTCTCTTGAAGGACTGCCATATGTTAGAGGTTTGTGGAAAAATGTTCTATGAAGAAATTTGAAGTTTGTTTTGCAACAGTAGGGGATCCCAATTTGTTCCTTGTGGAACCCCGTAATAAGGGACTTTCATGTTTTTTTATGCAATCTTTTACAAAAGAACCTTCTCTCATGCGTTTCTGGATTTCTTACTGATTGATTGAAATGAACTCATTTATGAAGCAACAATTCCAAAGTCTTAATGGTTGTATCTTCTTAAATGTGAGAAGAATTTGTCTGTTTTAAATCATTGTAAATTGAATATCTTGGAATTTTGGACCAATCAGAAAAGATTTCATGTTATGGCAAATGGTGAGGGACATTTTTCATTTACAGACAAAGACAGATTAATTGAAAATCAACATTTTTGTTTGTTGGCACCCTAGTCTAGTTTAATGTAACACCCTGTGTCTTCTGCAGGTCTCCCACTCATTTCAAGGTGAAGGCCCAAGTCAGAGTGTGTGAGATGTGGACGGCCAGCTGCGTAGAGGAGGTGTGTGAGGGGAGCACCAACCCAGAGAGGAGCTTCGTCATGGGCTGGCCCACCTGCAACTGTGTGGCCACCTTCAGGTACACACACACAAACACACACACACACACACACACACACACACACACACATAAAGTACAATATAAGCAAGTTCACATTCAAGAAGAGGAATGCCTGGAAGGCGAATTACTGTTCTTCGTCATCTTAATTTGATCAAAAAGAAGCAATTCAATGATAATTTCCTCCTACATAACTTCATTCAGTACATCTGCTTGCATTGCATGACAGTTATTAATGCTTAGCACACTAATAATGCCCGTCTGAGTCACTTCAGAGCGAGTACACTGTGTTCTGAGGTGCAAATGCACAGCATAGAAGGGAACTAAAAACTGAACACGCAACCACAAAATCCCTAAACCCTTAAGCGCAAAGGAAGTTCCCAGTCATAAAACTGCTCAATCTAACCACAGTAAGGCTAGAGTAGATAACCATACATGCACAACAGGCACAGACATGCAACACATACAAATACATTCATATATGCTGTGCTGTATATTTGCACCTTCGTCAATGGTGGACACACATTTCCCATCGCCAGGAATCCAGTCGTAGCTTTGGGCGAAGTCTGCGGTTTTGTCAGTGGGAGTCACATAACAGAGCAAAACAGACAGTTGCTTTTTTATATGATTTCCTCTGATTATCACTTTCTTTACTCCCCTACAGCTCTGAGGAGCACAAGGACAAGTGGTTGGCACTCATCAAAAGGTAAATGTTTGGTCATACCCCATGTTACTTTGTCTGCAGTGGTTTGTTTTGGTATTTTAGCTCATGGTGCATCTTCAAAATGTTCCTTACAGGGCAGGATTTTATTTTAACAGAACAGAGGTGATTGAATAGAAGATGAATGAGATTAATCACAGAATAAATAAATGGGAATCAGCTGGCCTGACAGACGTAATAAGATGAATTTATAGATCTGAACCACTGTGATGAATACAGTCCAGCTAATGCTTTACAACTAGCATTTAAAGCTAAGATTAATTTCTTTATATTTTACATGCTGGTATTACCTCCCTTATCACAGTGTTAGATTGGCCACATGAACTTAACTTATATTCAAATGCTATTTTTATTTCAATCACAATCAAAATTCACTAATATCTTTCCTCTGTTTTTCCCCTACACATAGTCGGATAATCGAGGGAAAAGAGAAGGACGACCCAAAGACTATTCCTCTGAAGATTTTTGCAAAGGACATTGGAAATTGTGCATATGTAAGATTCTTTTCTATCCGCTATGATTTTTATTGCTTGTATCAGCACAAAAATAGATAGTGTTTGATCGCCTAGTCTGTCCTTAAGTAGGTAATTAATGATGTCACTAGCAGTGCCTCCATTTATGCAAGATATTTCCATAATGTGTCCAAAATCTTTCCACCAGGCCAAGACACTTGCGGTCAGCAACACTGACAGCACCACTGATGTCATCCGCATGGCTCTGCTGCAGTTTGGCATATCGGTGAGTAACCAAAGACCACTGCTGATACTCAGCTCTATATCCAGTCACTATACTTTGATGTGACGTTAAAAACAGCCTCTGTTGGCTATCAAATGTTATAAGTAAAGTTAGTTAAACATCTGATGGCTGAGAGTCTGAATAATAAACTGTCCAAACAAAGTATACCAGAATGTAATGCATTATACAAAGTAATATTAAAGACCTTTTTCGAAGATATATAATTTTTCAGAAATGAGTGTCAAATAAAGATATTAAGTTAGTATTTTCGAAATGGTGCAGTTAATTACTGTGTTAAACCTGACATTTTTCCCTGTCTAGGGCTGCGTTAAAGACCACAGGTTGTGGGTGAACTCCAGTAAGGATGACCCCCCATACCCTCTCATTGGTAAGCTCATCTGTCATAAAAATGATGCCAATCTTACTGTTAAATCACATCTTTTAAATCACATCTTTTTCATTTAGACTTTCCCCTTTTCTCCTTTTAGACACTCTTAATTAAGGTACTTAACCTCCAGTGGTGTGTGATAAAATTTATGATAAGACTCATATCGGGGAGTCCCGAAGTGTCCATGTGTAGGAGTGCGATACTGGTGATTCCTGAAAATCTGCATGTATGCTTACAATTAACTCTTTCATAAATTAAAGTTAACCAAAAAAAAAAAAAACTCCCGTCTCATCCCTCCCACGATGAATACTTTGGAAAATCAGACAGTGCTAACACTAACAAAGAATGCCCACAGTGAGGGTCACTACTGTATGAACATCAGCAGTACACCAAAAACTCTGGGATCATTTCAGAGCAGTTAATCTTTTGTCACAGTGGTATTTCCGTGACATTCTCTTACCATAATCTTTTGTTGTTGTAGTTCACACTGAATTCCTAACATCCCAACTCAGTACTGCTGATTCATCACTGCACTGCTTTAATTTTTATCAGATTTTTATTTTTGCTCCACGTCACGACAAGACCCATAACCTCTAACCTCTGCACTTTGACCTGTCATTTAGGCCACGAGTTCCCCTTCAGCATCAAGATGAGCCACATTCGGGATGGTGGGAGCACTGGTGGAGGACTGGGAGGAGGAGCATGGAGGGATCCAACGAGTCCCACAGATTGTCCAGGGGTGCTGCTGCTGGACCAGTGTCTCCCCCCAGACACCCAGTGCCAGTTTATCCTCAAACCCAACAAGGTCTCCCCGGGACTCGTTACGCTTATAGGTATGTCACACAACTGGTCCAGACTGTAGTTCCCATTCTTTCCCATTGTCATTTTTCTGAACACATGTATAAAGTATATTTCAGAATTAAAGGCAACTTTGTATGTAGGTGACTTCAAATAACGGTGAGGTAACAGTTTAAAAGCACTTTGAACTTCAAAACCAAGAAATTCTGCTCGAATTAATAATCAGTGGACTGTCTTTGGAGCTGTTAAAGGAATCTGACTCAAAAATGTGAGAAAATGCTAAAACAACACTGATGAATATTGATTTGTCATATGAGTGAACACATGAGTCAAATATGGCATTTTGAGTTTTCATTCTTTAACACAAAGATCTGGAGTATTGAAGGCATCGTGCTTTTATTTCTTTTGGTCTAATGTGAATAAAAAAAACCTTTTCTTGTGGGGAAAGTTGCAGCCTTAAGGTAAAGTCAAAAAGTAATTAGTATAATTGCTTTCAAACCAAACATTTCAGTCAGTTAAAAACCAGCATATAACGAGTGGCCATCTTCTCATGGACCTTTATGCACTGAGGAAGATTAAGTAAGGGCAGTACAAATATGTGCTGTAACAAGGAGCTGTGAAAAATAAGAGTTTTTTTCCACCAACATAAGACAGTTGAGGTTTTCAAGTAGATGGTTGGTCAGTGTCAAGAATCCATCCATAAATCTATTTCTGTATAAAACCACAGGAGGAAATATGGGGATACAGAAGTATTAATGCAGAACAGAAAGTACTTCCTCAGAATGTGTTTCTCTATCATTTCATTTCATTTTGTTTGTGCACGCTCTTTACCCTCAGCCACGTTTTCTAGATCTGATGATGAATCAGTAGGTGAACGCGAAGAAAAGGAGTCAATGAGAACGGTGGGAATGGAGACAAGGGGTTACAGCGGGGGTTAGGAGAGACGCAGTTTCAAAATAAGAAAAACATCAGACAGACAAAGAGGAAGAAACCCCAGAAGGGACGGAAGAGTGTGAGAATAGGAAGATGGAAAGCGAACAGAGATGACACAGCTATTGAGTAAGCCTGAGGGTCGGTGTAGGTGAAGGAAAAAGAAACAGACTGTAACAGATAGAGAGGGAAAAATTTACAGACTGAAAGAAGACTGAAAGGAAAAAGAAAAACAAGAGGATGGTGGACAGGAACAAGGAGGACTAATGGGGATACAGAAACCAGGATGGAAAAAGGAGAAATGAGGTTTAGAGGAAAACAAGTTGAGCATAAAAGGTCTGTGTTTTCAGTCAACGAGGCTTCAGTTTGCCAACCACAAGCTGCGCTTCAAAATCCTTTGCCTCAAGCGTAACGGCATCTTACATAATCACTCCATACCAACCCTGCCGCCATAGGGGCCTAATCGCTCACACCCAACCAGAAAGCTAACGATCATGTGTTTATTGAGTGGTAATCATGGCAGAAGCCCCTTTTCAGGCATTTATTCTCAAACAATCCTGCAAGCAATTCTTTCTTGAATGTCAGAAACTAATTGGAACGTGTAAAATGAAAGTTGTGATGTTGTTTTTTTCCCCAACATTTTACAAATTGCTCCAAGACTTGGCCATTGCAATACACTAAATGTGCCCCAGAGATCGATTTGAGTTACCTCCGCTGCAGTGAAAAACTGCTTATCACAAACCAAAGAGCCATGATTATTTTATACTGTGTAGTGTAAAGAGTCCTGACAGGCTTTCTTGCATATTCATGGCGGATTCGAGGGGACCCCAAGGCACCGACAAAAAAATCTCCAACATTGAAGCTCGGGCTAAACATGCTTTATTGGGAAAATGTTCATGGAAATTGATGTAATCTGCTACTTCAAGGTACCATTTTACACACAAACATTGATTCTAGTGTTGATACAATACCTGATTAGTATCGATAACAAATACCAATACTTTACAATTCAATACAATACCATTGCTCTGAAGATCAGTTTTGAGCCTGTTCTATAAATAGTTTTATAATAAATATAACAATATAACAATATATAACAATTTCTGATCAACCCATATCAATTGCACGCTTAAAATAACTTCTGGTTAGCCACACCCACTTTTGGTATGAGCAGCACCCATTCCAAGTTTCAGCTGGTACCAAAAAAGTATTGAAGTTAGATGTCCACTCCAACTCACAAACCCTAATTATGCAAGAAAATCAAAGTGAACCAACCACTATCCTGCAGGAACAAGGCCAGCCTGTTCCCAGATAATGCTAGTTTGTCAGCGGCCCAGAAATCTGCCTGGCATAGAGGTGGATCATTATTACCAGCAACACTGTTCACAAAAATAGCCCGGTGGTTCATCCTCTCGAGCTGACTGTGGTTTGGGATAAAACAACTACTAGGTTAAGGTTAGGAATAGAAACCAATGTTTACTTGATTTTAGGAAGTTTCTATATGTTAATTATTATTGTAAGACGCTAGCAGAAGATTATAGTAGGATGATGGACACTGCCCACCCAGTCAACAAGTAGTCTACCTCTGTTTCCTCATCTCCCCCCCTCTAAAACAGCTCCCTGACTAGAAAGCTGTAATGATGTAACGCCTGATTTACAGCGATGTCATGTTTTGCCAATGATGGCGAGGGCCTGCTGAGAAGTGCCAGAGCAGGCCGGTAATTCTGTTCCTGCTGAACTTTGTTCCAGAGTGTATTTGGGCATAACGCCACGGCAGATTGTTAAATAATGAATTCTATGTGAGGTATGCCACATGTTTTGTGGGGCTTTCTGGGCCCTCCACCCACTGAAAGAATCTTTCTTTTGTTAGGAAAGTCCCACCCTCAGATACAAATCACAATCGCTTAATAATGTCAATGTTATAATTTCATGACTGTTGGCAACTCAAAGTTGCTACATTTAAATCTCACTACACTGGCACTTAGTTCAGACAGGTATTTTAGAGGAGTTTCAATCCAAAATGAACTATAATTTTCATTGTCAATTCATGTATTGACTTTTGACATTAAAGAGTAAGTTGTACTCTATAACTATTCAAACTAGAGCTAGAAAGTCACTCTGCAGCAGTGTTGTTAAAATTGGTCTCTTGTTATCTATGTCCCATGAAGGCAACACAGGTCTGAACCACGTTTCTCCGTTTTTTCCACCCAATTTAAGTCTTTCTGCATAGAGAATAGATTCAGCAGTAAATGTCTGCTGTGCATTCCCATTAACATGTACTTCAATGCACACGCAGCATGCAGTTTCATAACTGCAGAAACATGCCGAGTGGTTATGTCATAGAGAACATGAAGACGCAGTGAAGACAGAGCTGCAGACAGACACTCAAACAACACAGGTAGACACTGTGACTTGGCACCACTGAGCAAAGAACAAGGAACACACAGTCACAAGCCCTAAGAGACACACAGAGCCCCTTACATGAACACAGACACCTACACACACACACAAACCTCAAATGTAATGGTGATCTTGAGCGTGAGGGTATGTTTCTCTCAATCGCTGAATCAGTGGTTCTTTCTTCTGTCCTTCTTTCATGGTCTTATTGGGGTCTGTCTATTTAACAATCTCCCCCTGTTTTCTCTGTTTCATATAAACTTGTTAAGGGTGTGATTATTTGGCCAAAATTTAGTGGACAGCATTCATGTTCATGCTGGAAGTGTATGGGACTTTTAGGCCAAACTGCCAAACAATTCACAATCTACCAGAACATGGAAAATAAATAATACAAAACCATTACATAGACTTCAGTTTTGCAGTTCCATTCATGTGACTTGTCAACATGCATTACTCAAGCGATTCCAGTTTGGTGCTATCTGAAACCACAGCTCACCTCTTCCTCTTCTCTCTCCCCACAGAGCCTGGTCAGCAGAAATCCTTTAAGAGAAAGAGGTCTCTGATCAACTGGCCTTTCTGGAAAGGCTCCAACACACAGCTGGACAGCCTGCCCCTGTCCCCGACCTCGCTCTCCCCCACTCAGGGACGGCTGTTCGGACGACCCCTGAGCTCCGTCTGCTCTCCAGACCACGGCCTGCCCAAGCCTGTCATGGTGAGCTGAGCGCAGGTCATGTAGGCCAGCAGGAGGGGTCAGGACCCCGTCTGGAGGGGTCACAGGATGATTTGGGGTTTGCAGTGTATGCAGTGTATTAGGGAAAGGGAGATGTAGTGGTATGTAGAAGTAGATGCATTTTTAGATTTGAGATTTTATGGAGGTTTTATCTAATATAGCGATATTGTTTTTTAATATATACTGCATGTTCCAGATAAATAAATAAATTACTAGAGAAGTGAAACCCAAATCTGTTGAATAAGCAATCCAGATTCAACACTGACACTGACAGATTCAAAAAATGTTTCCTCTCTGATTATAAAGTGCACTAAAGAAAACCTTTAGAAAAGCCTTTGTTGGGTTTTAAAGAAAATCCTGGAGTCACAATACTTAGTGTTCATATTCTTACAATTTTATTAACCCTAATCCATGTAAAAAAATATTGAATAACCCTCCCAGTGTGGTGTCCACTCACTCCTTCTTCCCTTTGTAAATAATGAAAACTCATTTGAGGCTGCAGAAAATAATTCACAAAGATTCATCCTCCATTTGCCCAGATTAATTTCTAAATATAGGGAATGATAAATCAAAAACAAACCAAACAGACAGCTGAAAAGGCTAAATTCACTTAATCCCTGTCTCTTTCATTTCATTTGGTTTAAAACATCACTGGATGTCTGGCAGGATTTCAGAGCAATTACGTCATTTAGTGTCTCTTCCATTCAGAACATTTATAAAAATATATTTAATCCATCTCCCTCCAGGACATGTTGGTATTCCTGTACCTGGAGGGGCCATACACCAGGGGCGTCTTCAGGCGGTCAGCTGGGGCCAAAGCCTGCCGGGAGCTTCGGGACAGACTTGACAGTGGGACCGACGACCCGGAGATCACACACCAATCAGTGTTCGTCATCGCTGCTGTCCTCAAGGTAGCGCACACACACTCAGCCACACACAGTCCTGCCCCAGTCTCGCTGGTTTGAAACCAGACAACAGAAAGCAGGCATGACTGATGTGCGTCCAAAGTCACATAAGTCCAGACAGGATAATCTGTCTCTGCACAGCCAGGCAGGCTGCCAGTCACACACACACACACACACAAGGTGCTCATTGTTCAGCATCCAGGCCAAACAGCCACCACAGCGTCGGGCATCCAGGGAGCAGCTGAGGTGGTTTCATACAGAGCTGATTCATCTCTTCTTTGTTGTGCTTTACCTGTTTTCTGCACAGCGGATAGTAGTATTGTGCCTCACCTGCTGAGACAAAAACAATGTTAATCAATTGGTCCAATGATCAGATCGAAATGTTGCGTGTTTTAAGGATTTAATAAACCAGCATGGAGACAGTGAGTCTCAATCTTTCATCTTTATTAAAGTGAAAATACAAAACATTTGCAAGATGCAAGGGTTTTGTGAGCAAATTCAATGCATCACATTGTATGCTGAGCTTTATTTTCTGCATTTTACAAGCTAAATTTAATTAGTTAGGTCAGACCTTGATCATTGAGCTTTTTTGTAAGAGAGAACACATTCATACTCAGACTTAAATAAAATCACCCAACCAAATACAAAAAAGAAATAAAAATTAAACAAGTAAGAATCATTACAAAATTATTATTCAACAAAGAAAATTATAGCCCTCATTGTAATGCATGTCTTAATTAATGAATATGTTTTTTGCATACAGGACTTCCTGCGAAACATCCCAGGCAGCCTGCTGTCTGCGGATCTGTATGACCAGTGGATGGATGTGATGGAAGGGGAAGCAGGGGAGGAGAGGATGCAAGCTGTCCAGAGGTAGGAGCTCTGTCTTCAAACATCATGTTTACTGTAATGCCATAATCTTACTGACATTGTACAACATGTTACTGTTGCTTTCTCACAGGCACACACATACACAGACACAACAAATCATACAAATGGGTGACAAATTAAAGGAAAGACCTGAATAAATGAGTGTTTTTGTGGCTTGCGGTGACCCAGCACCTGACTGTGACACTTTGTTGGTTTTTCCTTTAATTACACGCTGTTTATGTCTAGTGAGAGCGAGGCAGACAGAGAAGGGGCATCGCTTCAGTTCTAGAGGCAACAAACTAAATTCCTTCTGCTTAAGAAAATAAAAAACAAGTAACATGACAGCAACAACAAAATAGTTTGTGGAGTAATTCCTGTGGAGATCAGTAAATATGACAACACACATACAGACACGCACTGTGAGAACAAGGAGCAGGGACACAAAGTGTTTTAGGGTGTGTTTTGTGATCGCTGTAGTCACATAGTTTACATGATGTCCATCTCCTACCATCCCTCTGTCGCTCTCTCTCTCAGGTTGCTTCACCTCCTGCCCAACGAGAACCTGCTCCTGTTGCGACACGTGATGGCCGTGCTGCACTGTATCCAAGGCAACGCCCATGACAACCAGATGAACGCCTTCAACCTGTCCGTCTGCATCGCTCCCAGCATGCTTTGGGCTCCTGCGCCTAGCACCCCAGAGATAGAGGGGGAGGGCACCAAAAAGGTGAGGGGGAACACACACACACATTACACACACACACACACACACACACACACTCCATATGGGGTGTTCTAGCTTATAATCAGATCTTGCAGATGATTATATTTACCGGAATTGTTCAGCATTTCGTGAAATATGCTTGTTTTCTTGCTTGGAGTAAGATGAGAAGATCAATACTAGGACTGCAACTAATAATTATTTTCATTTTTGATTATTCTACAATTATTTTCGCTATTAATTAATTCATCTGTTTATAAAATGTTACTTAAACTTCTGAGCCCATGTCCTCAATTTGCTTGTTTTGTCTCACCAACAGTGTAAAATCTAAAGACAATTTAGTTTATTTACCATCTGAGGATGCCAGGCAACCAGGGAACACTCCAGGAAGTTTTTACTCCCAGCCAAAAAAATGCAGTGCACATGACCCCTTGTACAATTTGTATTGTTTTTACAGTTTGGTTTTTGTACACATTAAACAAACGAGATATACTGTGGAAATTTGTGAGCTTTAGGGATGCTGGAAGGGGGATTTAGTTACCTTTGGACAAAGCCAGGGCAGCTGTTTCCAGTCTTTACACTAAGCTAAGCTTAAACAACTGCTGGCTTCGGCTTCATATTTAGCATACAGACATCAGAGTGGTATCAATCTTCTCATCTAAAAGATGTGTTTCCCAAAATGTCAAACTTAACAATACTCTGAAGACACTGAACTGCTACAGGTGTTTGTGTGCGTAACTGTGTGTGTGCTAGAGTGGCATGCTGAGACAGTGTGCAAACTCTGAGGAATTTAACATTTCAGTGGAATGATGCTTCAGCGTGAGTGTGTACGTGCCTGCTGTGATGTATGAAACACATGTGACCAGACAGACAGGCGAGTTAAGAAATCTTGATTTTTACTGACACTCTCAGTATACGGTGTCTGCATGTATGTGTTCACATGCACAAGCAATCTCTGTCGAGGCTGAAAGCCATTTGTCAGCAGACAGAAGGTTTCCCTGCAAATGTGAGTGCTGACCTCCGAGCAGGAGCCGACCCACTAACGCACAGCTGTAACACACACACTAAAGCAACCTCACGCGCACATGGCCAGTCAGGTTCTTATGTCATCGCTGACGATCACTCATAAGCTGAAATCACAACATTCTTACACGCCACTGAGCTTCAAATCCTCAAGCTTAGAGCAAGACTTGACAGGAAAGAGGAAAGCTTCACAGTTTCATGCGGACTTACTCGCAATCCTCACAGGAAATTTTTATATTTGATTGTAACAGCAAATCCCAAATGAAGTTTAAGTGTTGAGTTATTAGTGACGGTGGATTTTTTCTGACACCACATTGTATTTTTGTAAAGTTAACTCAACGGTGAAGCAACATTGCACACTCTACCTCCCTCGTATCTTGGCCAGGCTAACCTGAAATGACTTAATTCCCCAGCAGAGCCAGAGACCACAGAGGAAGCCCCCTTGCCCACCGGAGTACATAGTAGTACATTGTAGTCAATAGGACATAAGGCATACAAAGCTTTTTGATTTGTGGCCGAGCTGTTTGTGATTTGGAAAGTCACAGTAATTGAGTTACACACAATCTCTGTGTGTGGCTGGTTTGCTTATCTTTTCAAATGTGTGTGTATGTATGTGTAGGTGTGTGTGTGTGTGTGTATGCTTCAGGTGGTCGAGGTTCATTGAGAAAACACGCAAAGAATTTCCCTACAGAATTCTGAGGCCAAGCGTGTGCTTTAGTGGAAAATTGTGTCACTGAAACACTCTTCTCTTTCTTTCTCCACACACACACACTTGTCAGCACAAATACCCTCATCACCCACAAATACCTAAATATCTCTTTCACAAATACTCCCCTGATAACACTTTCCTTCTCGCACACTGCTTGTTTGTGTGTGCAGCCTGAGTGCGGGCGGCCTTTTTCTGGGAAAAAAAGCTAAAAAATAACAAAGTGATATTTCGACATTTCCCTCCATGCGGTCAGAGCCAGGGGCCAATTTAAACCAGCGTGGGCCCCTGGCCGTGTAATGGCTAGTTTCCAGCCTTGTCTGGAGACATGTGAACGCTCAATTTTTGGCCAGTTCAGTTTAGTCTCTGTGTCGCTGCCTCTTTTCATGCAGCATATAATTTAAATGTTTTTGGCTGAACGTAGCCGTTTAGAAGTTTCTGGGGTAAATACAGCTTTAGTTTGTGTATTACTTAAGATGGAGAAAAATCATTCAAAAGAACGTTGTTTTTCTTTTGAGCTTTGTTCTTGAAATGTGGACTCAGCTTTTGCTTTTCTTCTGCTTTGTTTTGTTTTTTAATTACAGTGACTTTTTCTACATTAACGTAACAGAGAGTATCCAATAGAGGTAAAAAAGAATTACAAGAAGCTTGATAGGCTTTTCTTTGCAAACTGCCCCACTAACACACAGCTGTGACATTTCGTAATGCACGCACACACCCACACACACATTCAGATAGTGTATATGCTCCGGTTGAATGCTTTCTGAATGTTGAGAGAGAGTTTAAGATAACATCCTATTGGGTTAAAGAAGAAGAAACGGTTCTGAATGGGCTGTTGATGGAAGGCTGAATGTCTCCTGGATGAGCCCACAGGCTCTTTCTAACTGTGCTCTGCACTAGTAGCAGCCCTCTCGGTGTGACAGTGAGGAATGCAGGATGAGTGATTGAAAGAGGGCAGGAAGGCTAAATGAAAGAGAGAGTGGCAGGTAAGAAAAGAGTGAATCAAGAGAGGGAAGAAGAAAACTAAAGAGGAGGGGGCAGTGAAAGTGTGTAAGCGATAGAAAAAATTTTGTCTGTACATCACCAAATCAGTGTATGGTGCATTTGGTGCATGTTGGATTAGGTTGATTTGGTCATTTGCACCACTACTTGCATGTTTTTTTCTATTGATAAACACATACTTACCAAATGCCTGTCAGTGATAAAGTTTTTTTCAATTCAATTCAATTTTATTCATAACGGAAGTTATCTCAGGACACTTTTCATATAGAGCAAGTCCAGGCCGTACTCCTTGTAAAATTATTTACACAGACCCACCATGTGCAAGCACTTGGCGACATTGGCGAGGAAAAAATGATTTGCTATTCTTCAGGAATGAGACAGTGGATTGTAATTGTGCACTGATAGCAGACAGATGAAGATATTTCATCTGTAATTATAAACAGGTTCATTCTCTTAAAGGTGATTGGGTAGTTTCACTCTCCCTGAAGCAAAGCACTGAAATGTCTTTTTTCATTTGTATATGAAGGGGGATAGTGAAAATTATGTAATAAGGTGTGTAGCAGCTGTGGGTAATCTACCAGCAGACTTTAGTAGGGTCAGCCATGTTGGAGGCAATGAGGAAGGATCAAAGACAGACGAGACACTTTGTGCATTCATATTTGCTTGTTGCATAAGTGTATGCTAAATGTCAATGCAGTTTATGGATGGCAGAGCTGAGAATTACTCATAATCCAAGTAAAATGTAGCCTCAGGGCTTTTAATACAGCAGTCATTAGCACATGTGGTATCTATAGAGAGGTAGTGTACAAACAGTGCAGATAAAACCAGAAGGTCAATGTAGCTTTTGCTCTCTGGTAACAATTGTGGGGGATTAAGTGTCCATGATTGCTAGAATGAAACTACTGTGGAAGTCATTAAGTTACATAACTCTGAAAATACAGCTCTCATCCCCCCGTCATCTGTGAGGTAAAATGTGAACAGTATTTGTTTGGAGAACACCATCTTCTATAAGAGATTGCGCTGTAACCTTTCATCACACTGCATTTGGGCAGTCAGCATTGTCTGTGAAAGCCACAACTCAGTGGAACGCCCTACCAGATGACACTAAGAATTGTAGATGTACTGGAAGCTTTAAAGCCAAATTTAAAAATCTACTAAAAGGTACTCAGCTATGTGACCACTGACTGCATTTAAGCAGCTTTGCTTTATACTCACATATCCTTGCTTTTATTTTGTCTATTTGTGACATGGTGTGTGCGTGACATACTGCCTTGTTTAATTTAGCAAATAAGTATGTTTCTCTATAGTTTCACTAATGCCATACAATATAAGATAAATGGACCCTGACAGACTTTTTTTTCTTCAAACATGAAAAATCACAGTGCTCTGAAATAACTTCAAATCAAAGTCAACTAGTTTAAAGAATTGTGTTGAAATGAAATGATCAGCATCCTGAGGATATCCTGTAATGTAGATGTTGCTGGAATAGAGAAAATTAGACTTAAACAAGTTGATTTTAGTGGAAGAAGGTTATTATCTGATCCTCCTTTCAGTATTTCGCTTGTTTTAAAGAAATAACAAATTTTTAAGAAGAAAATACTTGCTGCCTGGTTGTGCAATGTTCTGCCAGACAGACTCTTCTTCTGAATACTGAGTCATACAATGCATATGGACACCATACAGACATACGAACAGGAACATCTGGCTCAACAAACAAACAAACAAGGAGGCCCTGAAGTAAGTCTCTGCGTTTTCCATAGTGCAGAGCGACAGCAGGAAAAACAACTAATTTATTAACATAACAGGCAGATTTTAGTGGAAACTTTCCACAAGTTGGGAAGGATATGACTCTAGCATTTCTGAGTGGCCCCTGCATATTTGTGTCATAGGACGTCATATGTGTTTAGTAAATTTTGTCTGCTTAGTTTAAAAGGCAGCGGTCTCAGCCAAGTACTATGATTTGTTTGAGGACAGATTCCAACTAGGCTGATAATTCCAAAAAAGCCCAGACACTGTTGGAATGTTTGAAAACTGGTCGTAGTGCCGAATCTTTTAAAAAACAGCAAACAGCAAACAGCCATTTGCAAAATGTGTAATTCCCTCTATGGCATTTGTAACTGTGATGTTGGGTATTTGCTCCTAAATATGACGAGGAATTATAGTAATATGCATTGTCTTAGAAGACGTAAGATGTTGTCCAAAACACTGGATTTGTCCATCTCAGTCACCCAACAAGCATTTGAGCAAAGGATATTCAAAGCCAATACATGATGTCATATATTATCAGGACATTATCCAGGACTGGGAAGAAGGAGTTTGATGTTTTTCTTGGTTGGTGTGGAATGCAAATACTCTCGTAGCTGGAAGGTCGACATCAGTGCAAACGCAAACCTTTCTCAGAATGATAATATGGGACACAAAAAAAAGTGACTTTGGACAGCAGTTTGGAACTGATAGCTTATAGTTATTTAGATCATGATTTCACAAAATGAAGCTGGCAGTAGCTGCAGTACACGCAACCCTAGTTTTATTTTCAGTGTTTCAGCACACCATCATATCCACATATAATCTATGTCAAAATGTTCACCAGACAGTATGAGTATATTGATTTTCACTGTGTTGTGTCTGTGTGTGTGTGTGTGTGTGTGTGTGGACATGTATTACTTATGTTGTGAGGACATAAATCTGTTTACACACTCACATTGTGGGGACTCGCCTTC